GAGCTAAAGTCTATCCAAAAGATAGGTTAGATTCTATATAGTTTGTTTCTGTTACTAATAATTGGTTGGTATAGCAGACTAGCAGCAATCACAATATAATTTTTGTTGTTACATATTTACCGATCACCGGTTAAAGGTACTGGTGGCTTGCTAAATTAACAAAATCCTTTCTCTCAGTGTACAATTATATGGAAAAAAGATAATTTTATTTAGAATTTTACATTTTACAAAATATAAACAGATTATAAAAATTATATATTACACAGAATAAATATTATCGTCGTTAGAGTTTTCCTTCTCAATTTTTAATATCAATCAAAGAAATTATGTTAACGAAGTATTTATCAAAATCAGCGCCAAAATAGATATTTTTAAATATTAAACTACGTCTCTCTCTCCCTCCTTCCCTCACTACCCCCTCTCTCTCTTTCTATTTCATTTTGTCTCGTCCGATTTTCATTTCATTTCATTTCATTTCAATTCATTTTATTTCCATTTCATCTTCTATCAATCTGCAAATATCGCACAACTGCCCTTATTTCCATCCCCACTTCTCGTTCTGTAGATCTTGCATAGCGCATAAAGCATAAGACACAAGATGTCGAAAAATTCGTAAAGACGAACTTTTTATGCTATGCAGACATCTTAAGCAGCAGGAATACGAAGAATGCTCTCTAGCCTGTTCTAATCTCGAAACGTGTGATAAATAAGTACGTTTAGACATCCCAGATAGGAATATGACGTATTTGTCATTATTTACAAAATTATATACTATAATGAAATTGTATAATTATATAATATTATCTTATTTCCAATTGAGACATTCCAAATAGTACAAGCTTATGTACAAGCTTGTGCGTCGCTACATGTTACGCTATGCGTGATGCGTTATGCCTTATGCATTACGCAAAAGTGTCGCGGCCTTATACCTCGAGCGGCCGGAGCCGTTTCTATTTTTTCTATCGGCGCGTTCTCATTAGTGCAATTACAAACTTTAATATATCGATTATCATTACGGATATCGCTAAACGGTAGAGGACTTTTATGTTTATTTCGATCCCATCTACTAAAGTTATTGACCAAATTACGAAAATTAATAACATAATCCATGCAAATATTATACATAGATGTAAAAATTTAGATTATTTCACAAAACTATGAAACTATAATATAATATCTATATTATATGTCTCGTGTAACATTAAAACAAAACAAAACAAAATTAAATTAATAATCGTATTTTAATATTGCGTATTTTTTGCCGATTTCGATAACATGATATGCGCCGCACGTACTTCACAGCCTTCCATATTGTCCATCGTATCACAAAATCATCCGTTTTGATAATTCGTCGGTAAAAATTGTGTATGAATAAGTTTGTGTCATTAAGGATGAATATTTGACGTCGACGTTGAAGAACTTAATGACATAAGAAAATGCATGCTACTGTATTTCCTTCTTGTGTGATACGTTTTTGGTTCATCTCGTACCTCTACAACTACATTCGCAAAACGATCTTGAAATATCTTACGGTTTTCACAATTAAGATATACAAATAGAAAATGAAGATTTAAATTATTTTAATTTAAGAAATTTTATATTTTTATAATTTATTTTATAATTTTATAATTTATCTGTCTAAATTAAGAAAATAAAAATTAGTCAAAGAGAATAAAGATCGATATTAGCCACAAAAATTAATAACAGAAGGAGCTCATCCAACGCCATAATAAATAATAATGAATAAATGATAAGTAATAAACAACAAAAAAGGAAAGAAAGTCTTTATAACTTTAAGTGCTTTAAATAATTCTATGTAAATTTATATATTACCTATGGTGGAATCAGATGATATTATCTATGTAGTCATAATATTATCTATACCTTCTGTATAAAAAGTACCGGGAAATTGTCATTTAAATGAACCGCGGAAGAGGTAGCGGTAAAATGTTTTTTTTTTAGGTTGGCAATTTCTCCCCGAGGGCCAAACAGTCAATAAAGACTATTATTTAAGTGTCTTGAGGCGTTTACGCGAAAATATCCGGCGAAAAAGGCCCGAATTGTGGCGAGACAATGCGTGGATTTTACACGACGACAATGCGCCGGCGCACAGAGCCACGATTGTGGCCGATTACAAGGCCAAAAACTCGGTCAATTCTATCGACCATCCACCGTATTCGCCTGATTTGGCACCGTGCGACTTCTTTCTTTTCCCGAAACTGAAATTGCCACTCCGTGGTACTCGTTTTTCATCGATTGATGACATCAAACGGAATTCGCAGCGTGTCCTGAAGGCCATACCAGAATCGGCCTACCAGAAGTGCATGGAAGATTGGTTTCGCCGTTTTCACATGTGCATTGCAAACGATGGGGATTACTTTGAAGGCGACAAAATAAATTTTGATGAATAAATAAAATATTCTGTGTTTTTTTTAACGATTCCCGGTACTTTTTATACAGAAGGTATATAGTATTATAATATTATCTATGTAGTCATTAAAATTACGCGCTGAATTAATTTTTTAATCTTGAAACGCAAACCGATTGAATTACAGTAATAATATCACTACTACAGTAATAAATATCAATTACAGATAATAATATCACTAATTTAAATTGCCTAGCAATTTATTAATTTGATTAATGCTTCCAGTATCTTATAAAGATCTTAACCCTTGAACACCGTTACGGTAATCCAGTCTGTTTAAAAAAACGCATGGCGTTTATGAACGATCAGAAGTATGGAGTGGGAACAAAGGGGGGAAAAAACTTTTGCATCCCTACTACAAATCCCCCGCCTGGCAACCTCAGCGTGCACGAACCAGTCGAGATAGAACGCCATGAACTTATTGTGTGGGTTACGCTAACCCTGTGTGGTTATTACGTTTTTATTTCGAAATCAAATTGTAAGTAAATATACGAACAAGATTGCGAATTCAAATCAAAGAATTCATGAAACATATAGACATTCCAGAAAATCAAGATCCGCGCGATATATATTAGCTGTAAATAAAATAGAAAAACAAAGAAGATGTTCATTCTGTCCAGGGGCTTTAGATAGGAAAACTTATTACATATGCTTGCAGTGCCAACAGCCAATGTATAGGGAACATGTCGCAAAGATTTGTTTCGCCTGTTCCACGCATATCAATGAATAATTTCATTTGTATATTTAGATGTTATATAATAAAGACTTTTGCACTAACTTTATCGTATTACTTGAAAATCACCCAAATTCAACCTCGTCGAATAAATATATTTTTTAGGATAATTCGTAATGTTTTTTTTTCTTAAAATACAACTTAATATGTTTCGATTTCCGTAAATTAAAACCTTGTATCATTTTTTTGGAAAATAGCTAATTTATTTAAAAAACGATTTTTTTTTAATTTTGAAATTTCTTCCTTTTTTTCAAAATATCTTGGTTTTCGGAAGTTTTATGATATCCTTATCTATATATTCTTTTTCCTTACTGTCTGTTGTATAAATTAAAAAAAAAGAAATTAAAATTGATGCATTAGATCCCGAGATAAAAGCAAAAAAAGACTTCAGGGTTACCGTAACCCATGTGTGGTGAAATCAGGTGGCGGAAATAGTGTGGTGTTCAAGGGTTAATAATGTTGAATAACATATTAAAATCTGTAAGTAATTTTATTGCAAAAAATATTATCTCAGCGCGCAATTTAAATAACTAGATAGACAGTATATAAGGTTATATAAAATTATTTACCTCTATTAAACCAGTAGGACCACATAAGCAGAATCAATCCGGACCAATTTAATTTTTTAGTACCCATTTTATATTAATTTGTATCACCAATAAAAATTTTGTACTCCGTGCCGTTTTGAAAAAAAAAACGTGACGCTGCTAGCTTGATATTAAATTAGCAGGACCACATAAAAAAAAAAAGAAACAAAGGTACAAATGAAAAGAACTGAATTTGTACTAATTTGTACCAGCAAGAAAAAATTAATATATTGGTCCATTCCCCGAAAAACAACTTCCGATTAAACTTAACTCTGTTACGGTCAAAAGTAAAATACCTTTCGCCATGAACAGAATCAGTTGATATCCATACAATCAAGAGGGTATAATTTGTACAATCAAAATGTAAAGTTTCAGATTTTGTACCCGCGCCGTTTCTTCGGAAATTACCTACAACGTCTATTAGGCTTAAGAGTAAAGTACCCTTCGCGACGAACAGAATCAGTCAATACCTTAACAATCGAGTGGGTATAATTTGTACCACCAAAATGTAAAGTTTCAGATTTTGTACCCCCGCCGTTTCTTTGGAAACTACTCCCAACGGCTATTAGGCTCAAGAGTAAAGTATGAGCGATGAGCAGAATCAGTCAATACCTCTACAACCGAGAGGATACAATTTGTACCACCAAAATGTGAAGTTTCAGATTTTGTACCCTCGCCCTTCCTTCGAAAATTATCCCTATTTGGCTCAAGAGAGAGAGAGAGTAATGTAAAAATCCGTGCAATCGAATCACTCGATACTTTTCACAATTGAACATTCACCAATATTGAATATTGTTGTGGCGAATGCATTGCCTCTGCGATCAGATTATTAGAAAAACGACGAGTATCAAGAGACACGGTAGTGTCTCACGCCAAGTGGGCGCGCAGCGCGAGACACGCCTGTCTTTACGTGAGTCAGCGAGTTGCGGGCATCCGAGCATCCGAAATTCTCGGT